GGAGGGGAGGGAGGGAACACTGTTAGATAGAGATAAGTATTGATTGAGGTGAAGAGAAGGGCAATGTACCAAGTGTGAGTGATCAATATGGTGTCATTGAGGAAGAGAAAGACATAGAGAGGTACATGAGAGGTACTGACAACAAAGATGAACCTTTTTGCACATATAGTACTGTGTTGTCAATGAAAGCAAACATGGGTATACGGGTGGATAGATGGGTGGATAGACAGGTGGACAGGCTGAACTAGTAGGTGTGTCTATGAAGTGGGGTGTACCCAAGAACGTGTATAGGGTTGGGAGACAACAGTCCTATAAGTTTATGTGTATGATCTGAATTCCCAGGTGTATAGTACAGCTCCTCAGAAGGAAGATGGGGCAATCTACTTCCATAATTATACTGCCTTGGAAACCCAAGGAGGCATCGCTATGAGTCGGGTCCAACTCATGACACATAACAGCAACAACAACAAACATAGTAGAGCTGACAAGAGGCAAGGTGGTAGTCACTGCTTCGTCATAGCCAGCTACCCAGAGGAACCAAGTATGTGGGCTCAGGACCATAGTCGCAGGGGACATCAAGCTCAATTGACATAACATACTACACAAAACGTGTTCCACCTCCTACTTTGGTGAGTAGGAGGATCTTACTTAAGATATACTGGGATCTTAAAAGCTTGCAAGCTGCCATATAGATGCAACGATGGGTCCAGAGCATAGAAGAATGAAGAAAACCAAAAACTCATGGATACAATCGGTCCTAGCGACTGGTACACCATCCAATCTGCAGGCTATATGACTATGAGACCAGAAGAACCAGATGGTGCCTGGCTACCAATGTCAACCACTTGGAAGGGGATCTATGTAGGAGCTGCTACAGATCTGCTGAAATTCCTGGATAGAGAGGGAGAACAATGTGGACAAAACTCAAAATCATTTGGAGAAAAAAAAGGGGGGTGGGGACCAGGTTTGCTGGTCTGTGATAGAGCCGGTGGAACCACTGAGACTATGGCCCCCAGCTGCCCATCAGGTCTGGAATTGAACCCACACCTGTGGCTTCCAGCCAAGCAAAAGACAAGCATATGAGTTGAACATTTACCTGAGGTAGATACACTCCTTGGAGAGAACAATCATGGGAGAAGGAAGGGATGCTTATGCACCGGGAGACAGCTCAGGGGGCAGGAGGGCATGGAGGGATGGACACGGGGAAGAGGTAATTATTGGGAGGAAGTATGAGGGGAGCTGTTGCATTGTGGTAAATTGTGGTCAATGTCATGAGACAAAGTATAGGTGAACTGCTGTATGGAAAGTGAATTTTCTCTGTAAATTTTCACCCAAATCACAATTTAAAAAAAAGAAAGAAAGAAAGAAAAGAGAGAGAGAGAGAGAGAAAGACATGTGAAAACAATTAGTCCAAGTGACTGGTACACCATGCGATCCTCAGTTTATATGACTATGAGACTAGAAGAACCAGATGGTGCCCAGCTACCACTGTCAACCACTCAGAGGGGGATCTCTGTAGGAGATCCTAGATAGAGTGGGAGAACAATGTGGAACAAAACTCAAAATCATTAAAAAAAGGGGGGGGGACTAGTTTGCTAGTCTGATAGAGCTTGATGGAATCACTGAGACTATGGCTCCTAGATGCCTTTTGGGTCTGGAATTGAACACACTCCTATGGCTTCCAGCCGAACAAAAGACAGGCATATGAACTGAACATTTACATAAGGTAGATACAATCCTTGGAGAGATCAATCATGGGAGAATAGAAGGGCTGTATAGGCACAGGGAAACAGCTCGGAGGGCAGGAGTACACAGGAAGGAAGGACACAGGAAAGAGGTAACTATGGAGAGGAAGTGGGAGGGGAGCTGTTGCATTGTGGTAAATTGTGGTCAATGTCATGAGACAAAGTGTATGTGAGCTGCTGTATGGAAAGTGAATTTGCTCTGTAAACTTTCACCCAAAGCACAATAAAAATTTGAAGAAATAATTGACCCTCCAACCAAAACTTCTAGTTCCCACCTTCTGGTACCAATGTGTTCTTCTTGCCTCTGCCTCCAGAGAGGTACTGTATCCTCTGTAATTTTTTTCCTTGGTATTTACAGGATCCATTAGGGCTGTCTCTTGGTGGTGCAAATGGTTATGCACTTAGCTACTAACCAAAAGGTTGGTAGTTCGAATCCAGCCAGAGACACCTTGGAAAAAAAGTCTGCCAACATATCCCTGAAAGATCAGTCATTGAAAAACTCACAGAGAAATTCTACTGCTAGACACATGGGATCGTCATGAAATGGAATAGACTCAACCTCTTTCTCTTTTTCTCAGCTACTAGCTTTTACTTTTTTTATACTATCATGCTTTGCTATCAGATGGTGTCATCTTCTACACGACCTATGTAAGGCTAAATAATCATTACACTTGTGTTTTTGAGGTAATATTAGTTCCTCATTTTACCATTTCATATCTCAAGAAGACAAAAAGAAAGGATATGAAATTGCTCAAGCTGGGCTGGGAAAGAGGAAATTATTTGGTTAACTTACTCATTTTGTCTTTTAAAAATATCACATTATGTCACTGAATTATACATGTGAAAATTATTGAATTGGAAATTGTTACCTATTTCTTTAAAAAAAAAAGATGGCATTATCACTCACCCACCCATTCAATGGTTTTTAAATACAATTTACATTTGGTGTCACCATATGGTGCCCCTGAGTCCCCACTCCTACAGGTTTGAGTGGTATATTCTCAGGGGTCAGAGTATCCCTAGAATAAAGTATTTGTCTGTTTCCTTCATTCTTTGTTCTGTCTGAGACAGAAAAGGACACCTTGGTTATTGGCCAAATAGGGAAGGTCTTGGGCAGGACACAAGAAGACTGAGAGGAAGGTTAAGGATCAGATGGATGGCCTAACCACCCTCTCTATTTTTCTCTGTCATACCCCAACTCCTTCCATCACTCTTTCTCTTAAAAGTACATTATGGCTCCATCCGTGCTTCTCCAAGTGCTAATTACCTTCTCCTGGGGATGGCTATGCACTTTCCTTTGTCTTCTTTTTAGTTGAGTATGGAATACAGCATACCCAGCTGATTCTTGCCCTGGAAGCCAAAGGGGAAAAAGATAAGTAGTGAGGAATGGATGATTCCTTGGCCTGAGTAGCCTATGGTCTACTCTGTTGGTGATGCGTTAATAACAGAGCCCAAGCACCTCCTTAACCTCTACTGGACTCCATTTTATCAAGCTGATGGGAAGTCAAGGACTTGCCAGCTGGAGACACCTTTACAGTTTTGCACATAAAATCAGATCCTATGCAAAGTCAGCCATTCTTCTAGGTCAGCTGTCTTATTTCTCTTCAGCCTGCCTGGATGTCCTTTGGCCTTAGAAGGCATAATCCAGAAGGGTCCCAGGGGAAACAGATTGAGCCAGATCCTTCATCTCAAAGATGAAGAACTGCGACACAATCTGGAGAAGACTTGACTCCAACGTTACAGTTATCAGATAGCAGAGATAATTTGCCAATTCCCAGTCTTGTACCATTTCTAAAACATCCTCCCCTCTCTCTCTCATAGGCCTGTGTTTATTTTCCCTGTGGTGTGGTCTCTGGAATTTTCTATTTCCAACCAAGTCTGCCCCCAGGATGAGGTAATGACTCCCTAGTTCTCTTTACTGGAATCATCATGGCTCCATGCCAAAGCCACCCAACTGGCTAGCAAATAGGCAGCTACATCGTGAGTGTCAAGATACCCACAATCTGAATGAGGTCCTAGTGGCAAGGCCTAGAAAGATAATTCTTAAGAAGAATTCTCCTAAGCTCTGAAGAATTCTCAGCTTTGAGGAAAACTGAGATTGTAAGTGAATAGAGGAGTGAAACAAACAGAAGATCTGGGGAAACAGAACCCTGCTGTCAGGCATCTGTAGAGAGCCAGGGTCCACATGGAGGGGCTCCTTGCCAGCTGCAGATGCCCATCCTTTCCTGCAGTGCTTCCTCCATCTGCCAAGGGCTTGTGTTCTGGCACTGGACCTGCCTGGCAGGCATTCTGGCACAGCTGCAGCTCCAAGGTGGTGGAAGCCCAGGGCCTCCTAAGTAAATATCTCATAGCAGCCACCTCCTCTTCAGAGGGGGCATGAGGGATTCATCTCTGAAGGCTGAAGGAGTCAGATCCATTGACTTCTGCCACTTCAGAATTATACAACCAGTCCATTTGCATTAAAAACTATTTCCTTAAAACAGCAAATAAATTCTACAATTGAAAGGGAAAACGAGGTAAACCAATCATATTTGGACATAGACAATTTGCTGTATTTCTCATTTCCAGTGAAAAAGGTGAAGTTCAAGGCTATATCCTCAAAGCAGGAGTATAAGGTTTGGTGATGGATTTTTATGGGTGAATCTCTCTTATTCTTATGTCAGGCAAAGTCTTCAAAGTTGGTGGTTAAGAACAGAACCTCAAAATCCTATATGACTCAAGATTATCAAAAATTCAACAGAGAATTAGAAAGCAATGAGAGAGGTCAATGATTTTGCATGTTTTTACCCACACACTCATAGATTTCTGGTTTTCAAAATGAATATACTAGAAATGGCACCTGGCAATCCCTTAGCAAAGCACCCAATCAATAAGTCACTTGGTTTCCAACAGTAAAAGCAAAACAGGAAATTCTCTGCCTCATTGATAGCTATGAGAACTGCATAGTAGGAGCAGCAGTCTAATATCTATCAGGCTGTTTTACCAAAGGATCATATAGGCAGAGCCCTGGAAGAACTGAAAGAAAAGGAGTGGGAAAGGTGCTGAGAGGAGCAGGTAGAAGGGAAGGAGGGCAAGGAGGACTGGATATTAGAGAAGGATGGATGCAAAACGTCTTTTGCAGATTGCATTGGAAAGAGCCCTCAGTGCAAATCTGTTTCCCTACTTAATTGTGTGGCCTTGGCAATTGACTTCACAGCAAAAACACAAAATGAGATTTCTCCTGCTGAGTCATGAGTAGTTTATGAGCTCATATGTGTGAAAATGACTGGTGTAGAGTGTGTCCTTGATGTTATTTTTGTCAGCCGCTATCAAATAAATAACTTATAACGACCCTATGTACAACAGAATGGAATACTGCCTGGTCCTGTGTCATCCTCACAATTGGCGTGCTTGAGCCTATCGTTGCAACTACTGTGTCAATCCACCTCATTGAGGGTCTTCTCACTTTTTTGCTGACCCTCTACTTTACCAAGCTTGATATCCTTCTCTGGGGACTAGTCCCTTCTGACAGCATGACCAAAGTAGGTAGATGAAGTCTGGCCATCCTCACTTCTAAAGAGCATTCTGGCTGTACTTTCGCTAAGACAGATTTGTTCATTCTTCTAGCAAGCCATGATACATTCAATATTCCTTGCTAATGCCACAATTCAAATGCATCAATTCTGCAGTCTTCTTTATTCATTGTTCATCTCTCACATGCATATGAGACTATTGAAAATACCATAGTTTGTGTCAGGTGCACCTTAGTCTTCAAAGTGACATCTTTTACTCTTTAACACCTCAAAGAGGTCTTTTGCAGCAGGTTGGTCCAAAGCTATAACATCATTTGATTTCTTGACTGCTGCTTCAATGGGTGTTGATTATGAATCCAAGTGAAAGGAAATCCTTGACAACTTCAATCTTTTCTCCATTCAGCATGATATTGTAAGGATTTTTGTTTTCTTTATTAAAAAAAACAAACTCACTGCCAACAAGTCAGATCTGACTCCTAGAGAGCCGTCCTTGGATTTCCAAGCAGTGTCACTACAGAAGTATATTGCCCAATCTTCCTTTTGAAGAGTGGCTCGTGGGTTTGAACTGCCAGCCTTCTGGTTAACAGTCTTTGATCTTCATCAGTAAGTGCTTCAAGTTTTCTTCACTTTCAATAAGCAAGGTGTGTCATTTGCATATCACAGGTTGTTACTGAGTCTTCATCCAGTCCTGATGTTCTTCATATAGTCTAGTTTCTCAGATTATTTGCCTAGCACACAGATTGGGTAAGTATGGTGAAAGGATACAACCCTGACACACACCTGGTTCCTGATTTTAAACCAGTGTCCCCTTGTTCTGTTCAAATGACTGCTTCTTGGTTTATGTACAGTTTCCTCGTGAGCTCAATTAAATGTTCTGGAATTCCCATTCTTTGAAGTGTTATCCATAATTTATTATGAACCATACATTCAAAAGTGTTTGCATAGTCAATAAAACACAGGTAAATATCTTTCTGGTATTCTTTGCTTTCAGCCAAGATGCATCTGACATCAGCAGTGATATCCCTCATTTCACATCCTCTTCTGAATCCAACTTGAATTTCTGGCATTTCCTAATATATTGCTGCACCTGTTTTTAAATTATCTTCAGGAAAATACTTGCATATGGTATTAATGATATTGTTTGATAATTACTGCATTCTGTTGGATCACCTTTCTTTGGAATGGGCCCAAATATGGATCTCTTCCAGTCAGTTGGCAAGGTCCTCATCTTCCAAATTTCTTGGCCTAAATGAGTTAGTGCCTCCTGCACTGCACACATTTATTGAACATCTTCATGAGCTTGATAGATCTTTGTCTTCCTTTGTTGTTAAGCAGGGTGATCTTGGATAAAATTAGTTGATTTCTCAGCATTTTGGATTTCTCTTAAGTAAAATAAGAAGGCCACATAGCAAACCATGTGTATAATGAGAAATTAGCAATGTTAGAAGCATATAAGATCAGAACAGGAAGACTCAAAGAGAAGGCTTCTCTAATTTTCTTTAACTTACTTCTATTGTACTAGGTGGTTGAATGTGACTTTATGTATTACCCCAGAACTGCTAAGGGCCAAAGCCGAGGACAAAAGAAGTCGAGAGATTCCAGAGAGAGGCCTACTACATCCACTGTTTAATGTAGCTAGAGGACAACAGAAAGAGAGGCTGTTGTCCATGCAAGAGGATACTTCCCTTCCTTAAAGCTAGGTGACATGTGTATGTTGGAGTTTGGGACCAGTTTGAACCTGCATCTGATGCTCATTTCTTATTTGGAAATTTTAGCATGCAGAAGGCCCAAGGATGGTCCTCACTAGTAAGGCCTGAGGGAAAGGTGTGCCTGGAAAGAATACAGAAGCAATCTCCATTCCATTTCAGTCTTCCTTCAGAGTGGGTTCAGGAGGACCTCAGTGATTCTTGTGACTTAATGCAGGGAACATGGGAGTTCATGGAGAGACATGGACACTGGGTTCCCAAGGAACACTGACCAAGTAATGGGCTATCCTGCATAGAGAAGGCCTTTGAGGCAGGTACCACTAGGAGGTCTTCAGTGTCAGAATTGGCTTGGGTGAAACTGGACACTGCCTCAAGAAAACCACACACCCAACCATGAGGATGTGTCCACTCCAGCAGAGCCCACTAGCATCAGACGGATTCAGAGTAAAGCCAGAATCCTTCTTCTTGCCTTCATGCAATCAGTTAAGATAATCTTTCTCCCTTATCCCTAATCCCTGCACATCAATTCTGGAAGAGTTGAGACCTAGAAGATGGGGGAGAAGCCAAACCTCTCTCTCCATTCCCCCATCCACTCCAAGCAGTTAGAATTTTCCCAGAGAGATGGAAGAAGGGGTATTTGCATCTGAGAGTGAAGCTATTTTTTAAACGAATAGGACCAAGTCTCAATTACTTGAATCGAATTATTCTAGCAATTGAAAGTGGTGAAACGTTATAGAGTCAAACCAAGATATTGTTAGAAGGGCTTTTTCCCAGAGGGAAACTGTGTGTAAAGAAGTTGGGAAAAGTTATTTGAAACAGTAAAACATCTTCCTCCCAACCAGTAGACTTTCCTCTGAGTAGTGATTGTGGGGTGGGCGATTGTTTTCAACATGGAGGAGAAGCATCTTGGCTCAGAGGAAAGAGTTGTGTCCCGAGGTCTGGGGTCAACAGCTGCTCCTGCCATTTCTGTGCTAAGTGACCTTCTATAAGTTACTAAAACTCCATTTCTTCATCTACAAAATGGACACAAAACTGGTATTTGTCACCTCCCTCTCACAGGGTCCTGGTGAGGGTCAAACTGAGACAAGGAATGAAAAAGCATCTAAGTTACAGAGTGTTTTCTAAATATGAGGTATGACTCCTGGCTCATCTGCATCTTAGTGGGATGAAAGGTGCCAAGAACTTGTTTCCTATGAACACACTTCCTGTCTGACAAGGAAATGTGGTCTCAAGTGGAAAAGAGCACTGAGTCATGAAAGAGAGTTACATAGACCATGAGAGCGTCGGATACTGGGCTTGTTCAGCCCCCAGATCAGAAAACAAGCCAATCAAGTGATACAATCTGGCTTAATTTATCACAATTTCCATGAAAGGAAATGACCATTAAGAAGAGAATAAGAAAAACAAAGCTTTTAGTGGAAAAGAGGTACCAATTTTAGACCTAGAGTTGAGAGTGTGATAGAATAATCTTGATATTTTGTAAAATCATATATGGCTTTGCTATATAAGTAGAGATCCACATGGATGTGGGAACTTTGGGGTTGAAATGGAATAAGACTTCCTTATAGAATTTCTCTCCTCCAATACATAACAAACTGAGAAAAAGTAGTAAAATAGCAACAATAATTCATCAACTGTTGCAAAATGGTAAAGTCTGATGCTATAAATTTTCAAAGGCAGTAATCTAGAAAAATAGCATGTATGGAATGATCCCATTTTTATAAGTACATTTGCCTGTGTGTCTGCTGAGCCAGCCTTTGCTCTGTGTAGACACGTACATCAAAAATGATAGGCATCTTGTCTTGGCTATCATTATTTCTAAAAGGTAGGATGTAGGATAATCTTGAAACTTTCTCTTTGTTCTATTATTCTATGCTGAGTTATTTAAAATGACCATGAATCATTTTTACAAAATCAATAGAGTTATTTTTTTCTTTTTTAAAAATCTGTCAATAAATATTTTATTCATTTATTTATATATTTTTTAAAAAATATAGGTGCTCTGGTGGCATAGTGCCTAAGAAATTTGACTGCAAACCCACCAGCCACTCCTTGGAAGGAAGATTGGGCCTCAGAAACCCAAGGAGGGGTTGCTATGAGTTGAATTTACTCAACAGCAGTGAGTTTGGTTTTTGATTTGGTAAATAAATATGACAGAGTATTAATACTTGTTCATTCTGTGTGGAAGGAATTTGGATAACTGCTATTTTCTTATTTACACTTCTCTGTATTGTTTAAAATAGGACAAAACATATACATGAGTTCCTTCATTTGATTGCTAACCAGAAGGCTGGTGGTTCAAATCCACCAGCCACTCCTCAGAAGAAAGGTTGGGCAATCTACTTCCATAGTGATACCACCTTGGAAACCCAAGGAGGGGTCGCTATGAGTCGAATATGACTCTACAGCAGTGGGTTTGGTTTTTTGGTTGGTTCCTTCAGTAGGTAGCTCCTAACATCCTTCTTTATAGTCTTGGAGACCCCAGGGTCTCAGGAAGTCTTGGCCCTTTCCTAGTCCTACTCAATCTCCACCCTGAAAAGGATGTAAGTAAAGTCAGAAAAAAAGTTTCCTCCCTAACTTGAGTATTGGCTCATCTCCAGCCTGTGCCCAGTTGCTCCTGGGATGCCCACTGTAAGAATGGTTCACTTTGCAGACCATTCTGTTATAAATTGAATTGTGTCTCCCAATGTGTTGGAAATTCTAACCTCTATGCCTGTGGTTATAATTCCATTCAGGAATGGGTTTTCTTTGTTATATTAATGAGGCAGGATTAGTGTAGGGTATGTCTTGAGTCAATCTATTTTGAAATATAAAAGCAATTAAATAAGCAAGCTGGCAAACAGAGATGGGGAAATAGAAACACCAAGCCACATGAAAGTTGCCCAGGAGCAGGAACTCAGAAGAGACAAGGAACTTTCTTCAAGAGCTGACAGAGAAAGCCTTCCTCTAGAGCCAGCACCCTGAATTTGAACTTCTAGACTCATGAACTGTGAGAAAATACATTTCTGTTTGTTAAAGCCACCCACTTGTGTTATTTTTGTTATAGCAGCACTAGATAACTAAGACACCAGCCATGTGTGAGGAGCTGTCCCACTGCCCAGCAGAGGAAACAATCTGTGGCTTCCACCACAAAAAATCCAAACTGGAGAAGCTGGCACAGCTCATGTAGATTATACTTTGCTCTTCACTTTCTTTCCTTCTTCCCCTGCTCTCCCTCCATTATATTTTAGCTACATTGCTAGCCAATGGGATAAGGAATGACAGTCTGCCTAATGGGATGACTAAAGCTTGTCTTGTGTGAGTTGTCCCTGAGTTGTTGGGCCATGGACTCAATTCCAAGTTAGACACCCTCCTCTAGCCAGTATACAATCTTAGGTCTCCACATGAGCCCAGTGAGAAGAGGAGAAGCCAAGTTGCCTCATGTTCTTCCCTCTATGCATAAGATACTGTAGGCGTACCAGAATCTATGGTAGAGAAAATGCACTTCCCACCACCACTATCAAGTGTTGACTAGAAGCATCACTTACTCGTCTTCAGACAAATCTCCAATGTCCATCTGGGACCGTTTCTCTTCTTTCACAGCACATGCAACTACCTGTGAGGAGGAGCAGGAGCAGTTCAGGGACAGGGAAACAGGAGTGAGGATCAGAGCCCAAGAATCAGACTCAGACATGGTCAGGAGGCTCACAGAGACTGCATTGATTCTGAGCTTCCTCCCACCAAATAAGGGACTGCTGAGTGGAATATTCCAATTACAGGATCCTGACCAAGAAACTAGATCCTTGGTTTGGTTCTCCATGACCCCTGGATTGTAAATTAGGAGATCTATAAATTGGGAAATCTGGGATCTTGAGTCCTGACTCTGCCACTGGCTTTTTGACCCTCCTTCAATCATTAGAAAACAAGGTGCTTCTGTATCTAGCTCTATGAGGTGAGTTAATAATCTACTCTCTTTACTTTATACATGTTCTGAGGGGAAAAAATTAGACAGACTGTTTGGCAAAAACTGACCTCCAGGCAGAAGCTTAAACTTGTCAAGAAAAAAACTTCAAAAAGTCTCCAAAAATAGCCAGTAGTTGGACCTGTGGGTTCAGGATCACAGTAACAGAGGACATCAAGTTCAATTGGCATAGCATACTACACAAAACATTGTTCCACGTCCTACTTTGGTGAGTAGTGACTGTGATCTTAAAAGCTTGCAAGCAGCCATCTAGATGCAATGATGGGTCGCTCCTTGTCCAGAGCAAAGAATGAAGAAAACCAAAGATTCATGGAAACAATTAGTCCAGGTAACTGGTACACCATGTGATCCTCAGCCTATACAACTATGAGACCAGAACAACTGGGTGGTGCCCAGCTACCACTGTCAAACACTCAGAGGGGCATCTATGTAGGAGATCCTGGATAGAGTGGGAGAACGATGTGGAACAAAGCTCAAATCATTTGGGGGGAAAAAAAAGGGACCAGGTTTGCTGGTCTGATAGAGTCTGGTGGAACCCCTGAGACTATGGTCCCTGGCTGCCCTTCAGGTCTGGAATTGAACCCACACCTGTGGCTTCCAGCCAAACAAAAGACAGGCATATAAGGTGAACATTTACACTAGGTAGATACACTCCTCAGAGAAAACAATTATGGGAGAATAGAAGGGCTGCATATGCACAGGGACATAGCTCAGGGGGCAGGAGTGTGTGGAGGGAAGGACACAGGGAAGAGGTAACTATGGGGAAGAAGTGGGAGGGGAGCTGTTGCATTGTGGTAAATCGTACTCAATGTCATGAGACAAAGTGTATGTGAGCTCCTGTATGGAAAGTGAATTTGCTCTGTAAACTTTCACCCAAATCACCATTAAAAAAAAAAAAAAAATCTCCAAAAAGATGAATGCCCACTATAGCAAAGCATTAGAGGAATAAGATTCTAGAATATTTGTGATGATGATGATGATAGCTAATACTTGATGCTTTTTGTATACCAGGAACTGCTTTGAGTGCTTTACAAATCAACCCTGTGATGTAGGTACTACTATGAGGTTCATTTTATGGATGTACTGGAAGGAGCAATGGCTTATTGGAACATTTACTGGCAGAGCAGAACCTGGAACCAGTCTCTCAATTCCTAGGCCGACCATTTCCACCACTCCAGCATGATGCCAGAAGAGGCCCTTGAGGTCAATGGGCATGCTAAGGGTCAAGGACTAGGAGCTAGAGTCTGGGTAGATGCCAGTGTGTGTGCAGGTTGGAGTGGGAGAGGGCAAAGAAGGGGCAGCAAGTTTCCTCCTCCTGCCCCCTAAAGCCAATCCTGACTACCACAGATCTCTCTCTTGGTGTTGGCTGTTTACAGGTCTCTATATCACCCTCCAATACATGCACTATGGGACAACAGCATGTTCCCAGAAAAAGCCCAGCCTGGACAGCACAAGTACTTTCTCTAGTAGGTGGTTTGGCTTTCTTTATAAAGAGTTTTGTCTTTACCTCTTCAGTGAGGTCTCCTAGATCAATCTCCACAAATGTAGATGGTTTCTGTGAATGGAAAGCAAAGAAGCTTGGGTGACAATACAAAAGAAAGCAGACTTGATGGGAGAGGTAGTGGGCCTCTGGCCCTAGGGGCCACCTGGGTCTGGGCAATTACCAGTAGGTTCATCAGACACTGACAGTGTGTGGTGGGAAGTTACTGGAAAGCCCAAGTAAAACACTAATGGCAAAGTACAGAGTGAGGTGTCCATAGGACCAGTGCTAGCAGAAGAGCAAGAGGGAGGAATATAATAGTCTCCCTACTCCATCTGCCATCAGATGCCTTTGAACGCAGAGGGTCTCCTCCACTTGTGTCTTTGTGGGATGGTGCCTCCGGGGGGCAGCTCAATGCCTAGAGCTATGACAGTCTCTCCATTCTTCTGCCAAACCAAACTCCAAGCTCACTGCCGTCAAGTCAGTTCTGACTCATAGTGACCCCTCCTTGGGTTTCCAAGGAGGTGTCTCTACAGAAGTAGATTGTCCAGTCTTCCTTCCAAGGAGTAGCTGGTGGGTTTGAACCACCATCCTTCTGGTTAGCAGTCAAATGCCTTAGGTATTACAACACCACAGCTCCTATTCTTCTTCAAAAAAAATTCACTGCCATCAAGTCGGATCCTACTCATACCGACCCCTCCTTGGGTTTCTGAAGCAGTATCACTGCGCAAGTAGACTGCTCAGCTTTCCAGAACTGCTTAATAGGGCAAAACTTGGAGACTTCCTCCAAAACCCTACCTGTGGGCCCCATTCTCCACTAAGCTGGTTAAAAACTCATGCTAGGATGTTAGTGGCCTGAGAAGCTCAGTGTGTCCCTATTTTAAGGTCTCTGATTGGGAATCTTGGCTCAGCGCAGAGTGTATTTCTAATTTTAGTCAGCACCAAGGGAAGGGAGATCATTGGGGATGGATAAGGGACTTCCCAGAATCCCTGGACTCACACCAAGGATGATCTATTGCCAGTTATTGCTTCCTGGTAAAAAATGTGTCCTACTATGTCACCCTTTTTTATTCCCTTGGGAAGGAGAATAAAAGCCACCTTCCCTCATGAAGTGCCCTGAGAGTATTCCTAATACAGCCCTGATGTGTATATGTTTCTACAGACAATACATAATGGTATGTGGACATGAGAGTGTTTTTCTGGGCCAAGGTCAAGCTGACTGTCACTCCCCTTCAGGACCCAACACACATCTTTAGTTACTGCACTGTTTGGCAAGCTAGGATTTGGATGTCTCATGGATCAGGCCAAAGAAGCACAGAATTTGACACCTGAAGCTTCTCTAAGCATAGAGCTTGGTCTAGTTCTACAGGATGTGCTCTGCTGCGTTGACCCCTTGAGATCATGTGTCCACAGAAAGCTCTTTTTGGGCAGGACTTGTGCCTGGACAAACTTACCCATCTTACTTCTATTACTAAAGTAAAAAGATCTTGCCTCTGTTTCCAGAAAGTCATCTAGTTTAATGGATGCCAGCTCCTGTTCCTGTACACCAAAGGAAGATCAAACAGGTAAATAAAGGTAGGACTCTAACCTAAAGGGACAAAAGTGATTAGATATTAAACAAATATTGCCTGACCGTGGCCTCTTTAGTGCTTTTGTCTATGTCCTCTTCTTCCTCCTGCTCCTCCTTAGCACTAGTCTCTGAGTCACTGTTTTCAACTTCTGGTCCTACTTTTTCACCACCATGGTCCAACATTCCCAGGATTTCCTGGATCTTTTCCTTTTTGTCTTCCTCTGCACTTGTCTGACTATAGGAGAAGTGGACAAGAATGGAATGGAATGGATCTCCTGAGGAGATAGTTTAAAGACAATGTCAGTTCTTCCTCTTGATGCTTATTTCCCTGTGCTGGGAGTTGGAAACCTCTAGGACAAGCCCTTGAGCCCATGATGACGACCTTATGTTGGTATTTGTTGTTGTGTGCTGTAGAGTCAATTCTGACTCATAGTGAGCCCATGTGACAGAAAACAACTGCCTCGTTGGGTTCCCTAGCACTGAAATGTTTACAGGAGCATATCACTAGGTCCTTTTGCCTATGGAGTCACTGGTAGATTCAAACCACTGATTTGTTTTGCTTAACATTTGAGCACTTAGCCATTGCACCACCAGATCTCCTTTATGTTAATATAGACAATCTGATTGATAAAGACCCTGCTTGCATGGACAAGCCTGGCCTTCTTGCCTCCTTTTGGTGACCCATTTCTTTTGGAGAAACTTCTCCTAAATAAATGTGCTGCCCAATTCTGGACTGGTGACTAATTTATTTAGAGCTATCCAGGGTTTATTTCAAAAAGCAATGTCTCATCTTGCTCACAGAACCAAAATCTGGAAAGAAAATGTGCTCACTTTTGCAGCAAATATACAACTCAGTCTAAATGGATACCAAATGGAACCATGTGAATCAATGGGTTTGGGTGGATTCTGTTGTTGGTTCTGCTGTTACTCATACCAAACTGGGTTACACCCTTGTCCTGACAGCAGTTTGTCTGGTACATTCAGGAGCAAGGAAAATGTGTGACAAGGCAAAGATGGTAGGGGACTTCTCCCAGTATCATCACTGGGGCTCATTTTTGGATGGTGGTTGGCTCTTGAGTTAGTCAACATGAGTATATAGTACAGCAGTGCCACCATAAATGTATGGAGTCTTCCCTGCTCAATGTTGTCCTTTACTGGATATCATCATTTCTTTAAACTCTGCAGGGAAAAGATTCCTTGCTTGACACTGACACATGAGCACTTAACTCATTTTATCCATTGACTGTACTTTTAATGATTTTTTTGGTGGCCAATTCCCTTCTTGGTCTCCAGCCAAAAGGAACCATTTATGAACAAGAGTGACTTATATCCCATGGCTTGCCCAGGATGCTAGTGAATCATTTTTGTTAGTACTTGAGAAAAATTCTTGGGTAATTCAATTTTTTTTTAAGTCCTTCTTGATGGTAGGAGGGTGGATGGTTGGGGAAGCAGTTAAGGGAAACATGCAGAAGTAAAGCTAATGAGACATGAGGACCTGGCAGGACAAAAAGACAACAGCACTCTCAATGAGGTATTCTCTGTCTAGGTCTCTGCCCCATGCTTCCCTTCTTAAAATAATTTTAAAAAGATTTTTTAAAAATTGTGGATTTGGTTATATTTACAGCCACAAACCAAACCCAAATCCACCGCCATCGAGTAGATTTCAACTCATGGTGACCCCCATTGGATTTCCAAGGCAGTAAATTATTACTGAAGCAGATTCCCCAATCTTCCTTCCACGGAGCACCTAGTGGATTTCAACCACCAACCCTCTGATTAGCAGTCAAATACCTTAGGCATTGTGCCACCAAAGGAGCTTTGGTGGCATAGTGGGTAATTCATTCAGCTGCTAACCAAAGGATCACCAGTTTGAACCCATCACCTGCTCTGTGGTTGAAAGATGAGGCAGTCTGCTTCCATAAAGATTTACAGCCTTGGAAACCTTACGGGGCAGTTCTACTCTGTCCTATAGGATCTCTGAGTTGAGATCAACTCGATGGCAGTGGGTTTATGAGTTATATATCAAAACCTCCCTGAACAAATGAACCCTCTGGTGAGGTCCCAGCATCTGCCACAATGAGACAACACTTCTCTTCTGGGCTGAGTTTGTGTCATGTTGTTTGCTAAGACTGGGAATTGACACCAGCTCTAAGCCACTTGCCTGCTAACCAGAAGGCTGGCAGTTCAAACCTACCAGCCACTCCTCAGAAGGAAGGTTGGGCAATCTACTTCCATAGTGATACTGCCTTAGAAACCCAAGAAGGGGTTGCTATGAGTCGGGTCTGACTTGATGGCACATAGCAACAACAACAACTAAGACAAGACACAGCTAGTCTGGGATTGCCTCAGGATAGTGGTGAGAGGAAAGGAAAGCTTATTTACAACACTGAGAACCACATTAGGTCATCCTGTTTACATGATAATGCTTTTCTCTAGATAAAGAGGACTTCTCACCCAGACCCCCTTCACCCCCCACCCTGTCTGAGCACTCAAGGGCTCCTTTGGTGCCCTCCTAAGTCTTGAACTGGGTTCCTGGCCCTCACTACCTGTACTCACTGTTTCTAGCTGTTCTCACCATTTTCAGCAAACTACCTCTATGCAGAACAAGCACTAGAAAACAAAACACTCGCTTACCAGCCAGCATCTTCTGTATCACTTCTTGAGTCTTTTCCCTGATCTTCAGATTCTGAGAAGAAAAGAAGCAATATTTGTCAATGCCTTCTCTACCTTGATCTATTTAGTATAACTGTCCTGCCAGGTTCCCTGGAGGAGCCTGGGGCTGGAAACCAAGGACTGCCTTTTGTGAGCTCCCCAACAACACAAGCCTGAAAGGACCTTCTGGGGCTACAGATCCTGGGTTATACAGCACCTTGGGCACACTAGTGATGCCTAGTTATAAATTTAATGACTATTTTTTTTATAACTAAAGTAAATTTTGGTTTTTCATCTTGACAGGTTCTCTTCCCTCATCCGTGCCCGCTTCCATAATTTATTACTTCAGCACCTTACACAACACAGGCTTAAACCCACATTTAGAGCTTCAGTACCTTCCAATCTGTCACAGAGCCAGCACAAGCTTCCTGCCTCCTGCACATGTGACTAAAACCCCTATCACACACCAGGAATTGTTTCTGCAGGACACAGTGCTACTGTATATTCAGTATATTCAAATCCCATTGCAATAAATGCTTCTTCTCTTCAAGACCTAGAGGAGCTTCTTTAAATTCCCTAGTCCCACCAACTCAAAAACCAAACCCACTGCCATCAAATTGATTCCAACTCACAGCAACCCCATAGGACAGGATAGAACTGCCCCATAGAGTATCCAAGGCTGTAAATCTTTATGGAAGCAAACTGCCTCATCTTTCTCCCCTGGAGCAGCTGATGGGTTCAAACTGCCAACCTTTTGGTTAGCACACAAATGCTCTAATTATAGCACCACCAAGACTCCTCTTGGTCCTACCAATTGTCTGGAAACCCACAGCAGAAGCAGGAGAGGTGACATTCATGATGGCCTATTCCTAGAGTCCCACCTCCCACAGGTGAATGTGAGCCAATGGGAAAGGGGACCTGTCCCAGTCCCAGGAAGGCAGCACTTGAACCCACAATCAGTTTGTGAAAATACCTTTGATTATTAATTTCTCCTGGTTCCTCTTAGGATCATTGCCAGGATGTTTTTAGTATAGTTTTTGTTCCATGAAAAATGAATACTTAAAAAATGAACACTTAAAAAATGAACACTTAATTGCCAGGTAGTAAGAATTTTTATCCATATGTAACAGAGAACAAAACATCCAGTCAATTCATTAAACTTGCTCGAGGTTAAGGGAACTGAGAACTCAAAAGCATTCTTTCAATCCTTCTGGTGAGCAGTCAAGTGCCTTAGGCACTATGCTACCAGAGCTCCCCTTTCAATCCCAGCCTCCCATTAAGTAACCATTATCAATAGACAATTAAAGTAAAACTGCATTTTAATGATTTAGGCAGGAAAGAGCACATGCCCCATTAGTTACAACTATTTTCCATGATCACAAAGAGAAGGAGACTACTGTTTACTGGTATATTGTGTTTTAATGAAATATAAAGTTTTTTGTGTCCAGGAAGTTTGCAAGCAGCATACATTTAAAATAATAATTATTTATTTTTTGTGGTTGAAAATATACACATCAGCACGTACATTAATTCAACAATTTCTACATGTACAATTCAGTGACATTGATTATATTCTTCAAGTTTTACAACCATTTGCACCCTTTTTCTGAATTGTTGCTCCCAAATTAATATAAACTCACTGCCCCTTCAGCTTCCTGTCTAATCTTTTGAGTTGTTGTCAGTTTGATCTCATCTACTTATTTAAGGAGTTTTGATGGTGTAGTGGTTAAGGCATTGGACTGCTAACAAAAAGGTCAGCAGTTCAAACCCACTAGCTGCTTTCTAGGAGAAAGATGTGCTTTTGTAAAGATTTACAGGGTTGTTTCATGAGTCAGAATGGACAAGATGACAGTGGGTGGATATAATAGTTCTTTTAAAAGAGCACAGTGCTCAAGGCAGAATTTCCTTACTAATTAAGCTAAAGTAATCAGGATACTTTTTAAAGTTACACAATAGATGATTTTCCTAAACATTTTTTCAGGATCTAAGAATGAGCCTCTGTGTAGTGAGGAGTAAGATCACCTGAAATTCTAGGTAGCCCTGTGGGAGTGCAGTGGTGCAGTTCTTCAGAGATTTTAGAACCTGTCAGCTCTCAAGAAATTCCTTAGGGGAAGGTTGTGGTCACTACTTGGTCACAGCCAACTACTCAGAGGGACTGAGTAGTTGAATCTGTGGGCTTGGGACCATAGTTGCAGGGGACATCGAGCTCACTTGGCATAACATACTATATAAAACATTGTTCCACCTCCTACTTTGGTGAGTAGCAACTGGGATCTTAAA